AAAATTGGACCATTAAGAGCCAAATTGGCTCTTAACTTTATTTCTAATTCTTCTTCTCTTTTGAATAAATCTCTTTCGGCTAAATATGTTAACGATATTTGGAATTATAAAAATTGTTATTCCTCTTCTTCTTGGAGAATTATTTTAAAGGGAGCTATATATCTTTACCCTCTTTTAAGATGGAAGGTTTGCAATGGATTAAAGGTGAATACTATGAATGATATTTGGCTTTTTGATAAAAGCCTAAATAGATGGCCTACCTTTACAACCAACATGGATCATGAATGCTGTAATCTATCAAATTTTATCATGAACAGTGCATGGAATGTTGATGAACTAAAGAAGCACTTTGGTTTACAGCTTATTGAATTAATCAGACAAGTTCTGATCCAAGATAATTCTGCTGCTGATAACTTCGAACTGATTTCTAAATGCTCAGGAAAAGCTATTGCTGCTCTTGCTTATGAAAAATCGGTAGAACAGGAATTGGATATGATGGACTGGGAATGGACTAAGAAACTGAAACTCAGACCACAGGTAGATCTATTTTGGTGGAGAATTTGTAACAATACTCTACCTTCTAATAGTCTTCTTCATAATAGAGGTATAATTGTTGATAAAGATTGCCCAAGACATTGTCAAGCTGTAGAAGACATGGAACATATTGCAGTTAGATGCAAAATAATCAAAGAAATTGGTAAGAAGTTGAATAACTGGAACTTTTATCCGCCTGCATTTAATTCTTTATATGACTGTCTTAAAAATTTAAGGAATTATTCGGAGAAGAATCCTCTGATGGGTAATCTGTATTGTTCGATAATCTATTTCGGTTGGAAAAGCAGAAATAAAATTTCTCATGGTGGCAATGAAGATACCGTCTCATTCTTAGCTGCTTATGCTTTGGATTATGCATTTGGCTCATTCCGTAACAATCTAGTTTGGGATAACTGGGGAGCTAAACAGCACCTTTCGGTGCTAGAACTGAATGCTTGGCTTCCTCCACCTTCTGGCTGGATCAAATGCAATGGGAATGCTGCTTTATCTAGTAATTATGCTGCTGGTATTGGTGGTGTACTCAGAGATGAATATGGAAGATTTTATGGGGCTTTTGGTTACAATATCAATCACTGGGACATAGCTCAAGTGGAAATTCTCTCTATTCTTTCTTTTAGAAGATATGTCCAAGATTGGATGCTTGATGCTAAAGGTATTATGATTGAAGGTGATAATCATAATGTTATCTTATTATTTCAAAGGGCTCTCAACAATAAGTCTATTTCTGAAGAATTTCTAAACCCAAAGGATTTAGATTTTCTTAAAGACTTTAAACAAGTAGTTTTTTCTTTTATTAATAGAGAATGTAATAAGTTAGCCGATGAGTGTTCTAACCTTGCTATTAATTCAGATTTCTTTTGGAAAGATCTGAATGATAGTGATATTCCTCCTTCATTTATTAATGTTTTGAAGAAGGAATTTATTGGTACATAGTTGCTTTAATAAAATTTTGCTATATGCATTTTCTCAAAAAAAAAAGGTGTATAATTACCTCTAGGCTTCTTCTTGCTTGGAATGTGCATCCAGCTAACACCCTAATACACAAGAAATCATCTTAGATGTAGTGTATAATACGACCAGCACTATTGTAAGATATAAAAAGGGTATGTTAAACTCTAAATCTGAGTCTCAAGATGAGTAACTTTGACTTTATATTAAAATGAAACTAATAACATGACTTGCTAAAAACTCTATATTTTATCATATGTAATTATACTAACTAAAGTTTCTAACTGCCACAATTTCTATGAATTTTTTACAGCATAACAACCCTATACTAAAGGAATAGAAATAACATCCTCCACGCGTGTGAGGACGCTGCTACCTTGGCCCCATTGGGCATAAGCGTTTTGGTTTAATTGTGTTGGTGAAATAAAATGTGAAGATGTATGGATGAATAGGTAAAGGGGTTGGTGTATATAGTACCTAGTATCACATCATCCTAGAACTAGCATATATGTTCTTACAAAGTCTTAAACATTTATATTAAGAAAATCCTAGGAAAATTTTACCCAATAATGCAAACTATCACTCATATGATGCAATGTAAAAAAAATAGTTATATATAAAATTATTATTTAATTTATTTGATAACTTATAACAAAGATTCTATAGAAAAGAAAGGTGGCCAGGCTCCACCACAATATACCTGGGTTTCTAAGTCTGCCACCATATAGAATTAAATATGTATGCTTATGGTCCTCGATCTCCAAGAATTCTATGGAATTCTAAAAGAAATTATCCTCCAAGAAAGAGAATATTATCTTCTGGAACCCTATTTGAATGTATAAGCAGGTGTATTTAACTCTTTTATAATTCAGAACATTGTACAACTTGATCTATATACAATATATAATTTATAAGGACTCAGACATTACACCATTCCTAAGTACATTTTACTTTGACTCTTACAAGAATTTAAAGGACTGTATAAAAAGCAATAAGCATATAGAAATATAAAATGTGCAGAGAAATTATTTAATAACCTAATGCCTCTAATGTAATTCTTAAAGAGACCAACTGTACTCATAAAAATTAAAATATATGACATTCAAATTTCATAAAATAAATAAACAAACATAGGGTGCACTCCAAGCAAAGCACCGAGCAAATAATTCACACCACTAGCATAGCCCAGGCTAAAGTTGGCTTTCATAGAAAATCATTTAAAGGTTTTGGTATATCCTATTGGAGTCTATTATTCAAGTTGCTTGAATTTAAGTTATAAGTTCATTAAGGTCGGAAGGGGTTATTTAATTGAAATTTACTATATATGAATTTGGATTTTATTTTGTAAGTTTTAATGGTTAGAATTAATTATTTAGGAAATCGCCTAACCAAATATGTAAATGCCATCCTAAAAGGAATTATGCATTACATAAAGAGATTCTTGGGTGGCTTAAGGTGTATTAAGGTTTAAATAAAATAATAAAATGCCCTTTATAAGGAATTAAGCATTAATCATGAAAGTTTCATTATTTAATTAATATTAATGATCAAATTTATTTGATTAAAAATACAATGCCCTCCATATGGAATTAAGCATTAAGCATGAAAGACTCATTATTTAATTAATATTATTTATGAAATTTATTTGATTAAAAATTTAATTTTAATCAAATAAATTCTCAAATAAATTTTGTTTTTATGTTTTAAATTTTGTCAATTTTTTTTTTAATTTTATTGAATTTTTTGAATTTTTTTATGTTCTCTAAACACATCTTAATTATTGTCCTTAGATGTCACTAGTATTTAAATAAGTTCAACAATCATAGTATATAACCCTTACAAATATGTAAACATACCATATCAATCATGTGTCCTAAATCTATATGAATTGCGAGTAACAAATTTCAAACATTTAGAATGTCAAGTAATATAATTGAAATGATTCATTACATATCTATTGTATTTATTTAATTTTAATTTTAAATGAATGTAGAGATTATTCTAAATCCATAGTCTTTTAAATCATCAAAAATAGCTTAGAAATGTAAATACTATGAATTTTCATAGTTTAATATATTCTTAAATAAATTAAATGAACTTTTATTAATTAAACATCCTATGAGCAATCATTAGCCATAAATGGATGGTGGCACAATCATTGTAATGATTGAATGACGGTGGCACAATCTTTCCGCATGTTTTCCATTAAACCATGTCAATGGGAAATCAGAGCCATTTAATCTTCCATAGTATGGATTGAAAGGCTACGATCTAACTGTATGAGATTTAATCCAAGTGATACTTTCATTTGTTTGGTTTGAATGTCAGGGATGATGAAATCACAGCCATTGGAATCAAATAAAGGGAATAAATGTCCTTGATTTCAACTTTTAGCTCTAACAACCTTAACCCTAAACCCCATAAAAAACTCTCAAACTTTTTAAAGGATTGACCAAATGTTATAAAACCTTT